TCCCAATGTTTATTCCATCTCAGTCATGCTAAGGCCTGCTAAGGCCTCAGATTACATAATCATTCCTTTGCCAGAAGGTAAATTGGGAGAAAAATGGTAACAAGTATTAAAAACATTGATTGAGAGCTGAGTTTTACTTAGTAAATGTATGTTCCTGGTACCAAGGATACAAAGAAGACTTTATTCTAACGGCAAGAGTTTTGAATGAAGAAGGCATAAAGCCATAGTACCTAATGCAGGGGAGACAGTGATTTAACAGGCCAAGGCCTTGCTCTGACAAATGTGGTTCATCAGCAGCTGCTCCCCCTGGAAATTCATTAGAATGGACCCTCCTGGTTTCCCACCAGAGTATCTGACTGGCTGTGACTGTTTTAATAAGCCCCTGGGTGAATCATGTTCAAAGATATGTTTGAGAAGTGCTGGCCTAGAACATTGGGACCTGGGAATGTTGCCTAGAAAAAGTAAATCCTGAGATGTGATTTTTTAAAAAGGATTTAATTTTATTTTTACTTATGTGTATGTGTCTGTGTGTGAGTCTGTGCTTGTGAGTGCAGCTGCCTGTGGACACAAGAGGTGTTAGATCCCCAGAGAGCTAGAGGTACAGGCAGTTGTGAGCTGCCCAGCATAGGTACTGGGAACTGAATTTGGGTCTTCTCTAAGAACAGTATATGCTCTTAACTGCTGAGCCATCTCTCTAGCCCCCAGGTGTGTTTTGAGGATGCATTAGGTTAACCAGAATGTTCCAAGTAGAGGGAGTAATACAAGAGTTCAGAATCATTAAAAAGCACAGGATGATTTGGAAACTGGAGTAGGCTGGAGAAACGGCTCAACAGTTAACAGTGCTTGCTGCCTTTCCAGAGAACGCAAGTTCAGTTCCCAGCATCCATTTTGGGCTGCTGACAACCACCTGTATGTAACTCCAGCTCCAGGGGCTCCAATGCCCTCTTCTAGCCTCTCTGGGCACCTGTACTCATGTGCACAGACACAGTCATGCATGTAATTAAAAAAAAAAAAAGGAGAGAGAAAGACACAGAGAGAAGGAATATAGGGAGATGGTACAGGCGATACAGAGTCCTGGCATGCTTTATATTAGGGATTTCTGACTAGGCTTGGGTGTAGCCCATGCCTGTGATATGTGATGACATGTTCCAATTTGCATTTAGATCACTTCAACCTGAGGAGGCTGAGGATAGCGGAGGTTGAAGGGCAGAGAAATTAATTAGGGAGCTAAGGCAAGAGTTTTGCAAAGCCATAATGAGTATCTTAACTCAGGGGTGGCAGTGGGAATAGAAAGAAGGGAACCGACTTAAATTTTAGGCAGTAATGAGTAGATGAAATAATTCAGTATGAATTGAATGTGGGAGGCTGGAGGAGGGCTGAGTCTTGAGTGCATGACATGCAACCTTCTGACTGGAATTAGTGGGCGATTGCTCACGGTGCCAGGAACAGATGCAAGAATACAGGAGGATAAGCAGGTTTGAGAAGGTAAATTAGGAGACATGTTCAGCTCAGGTGAACAGAAAACACACGCAGGAGGAAGTAGGAATCAAGGAAAGGGTGGAGAACAAGATGAGTCAATCAGGGAGGAGAATGAGGAGGAGGAAACCATGCCTTGCCCAGATTTGGAGCTACTGTCATAAGCCTCCTGGATCTACTGTTTTTCCGTTTTATTTCCTGCTTCCTCCGAACTTGGTTAGAGCAAATGGCTGAACCCCGAGGAGTTCCCATCTGATAACCAATTCGGTGCTACCATTTGCTCCGAGAAAACAAAACAAATAAATGATTTTAAATTGTGGTTCAAGTTGCTGTAGGGTTTCAATGACAAAAAGAGCCTTCACACACTGTCCCCGGGTGGATAACCCTGACCATGTCCCCAACCCTATTTCCAAAGTGAATTAGTACAACACCTCTGTGTGCGTGTGTGTGTGTGTGTGTGTGTGTGTGTGTGTATTTTCTCTCAAGTTCTGGACTTTCTCTGTCATAAATCTTTCTCATTTGTGAACTTTTATAGCTGGCTGTTATTTATGCCTTAAAATCCCAAACTATTAGCCTGTCTTGGGATATTCTCATAATTGTTTCGTTTTTAGCAATCTGTGCTCCCCGGCACGCTCCAGACTTCTGTCTCCAAGAAGAAACTCTCGAAGTACTTTAAAACATTTTTCTCTTCAGTCATCCGTAGCCAATAAAAAGCCAAAGGTGATTTGGTGATTTGGTGAGTTTGGGCAAGAGGAAGGTATTCCTACCGGACCTCGTCGCTCTTGCCAGGTTCAAACATGGCGGGCTTCCCCAAGTCCTTCCAGAGAACCCCGCGCCAGCCCTTTGGCGCTCCCTTTTCACCTTCCGTCCTCCTCGCTCCTGAGGGTCAGCACCCGCGAGCCTGACAGCGGACCCACTTCCCGCCCCCACGCAAGGGCCCGCCCACCGCTCCGCTCCAGCCAATCGTAGGCTGCGCTGCGGCGCCTGGCAGAGCCCGGCCGGCCCCGCCCCCAGCCTCGCTGTGGCCTGCGGCTTCCCGGCCAGTAGCGCCGCTCTCGGTTGCGCGGGCCGCTAGTGTGGGGACCGTCGGGTCGCGGGCGCTTGCGGCTGGCCACAACTCGGCGCCGAGACCGTCAGCCCCGGAGCGTCCAGCATGGACTTCGAGGACGGTGAGCGGCGCGCGGGCCGGGCCGCGGAGGCATGCGGGAGGCGGGCGGCCTGCGCCGGGGGTCTGTTTACCGCCTCAAGATGGCCGTGTGGCTTTGTTCTGTGGGCCGCACGGCGGCCGCGGGCTCGGGCCCCGAGTCGGTCTCCTCCCCAGCGGCGCTCGGGGATCCCGGCGGGCCCGGGTTCCGCAGCCCGCGGGGTTGGCCTCGCTGCAAGACCGCCCGGCTCCGAACGCCGCGGCCTCCGGGCTCGGTGGTCGGCCTCGCCCGGGGCACTGCCAACTTCCCAGCCTCGGGTAGAGAGGCCCACGGGGCAGTGACCCGGTCACCCGTGGGGTCGATCCTCAGCCCCGCGCCGCCCAGGGCCCAATAGAATTTCCACAGGCTAGCCCACGCTGCTGTGGATAGCTCTGTCAGCGAGAAGAGTTTAAAGGACATCCCTAGGCGTTCCATCGAGGTGGGCATTGGTTCCCATAGAACGAGGCGCAAGTTATTTCCTGGCCAGCAAACTGGGCTATATTTTTCCACTGCAATTACCTGGTTGTAAATTCCTCGTTCTGAAACAGTGCCGTGAAGCAAAGCACTTCTTGATTTAGTTCTTTTGGCTTTTGTGTGTGTGGGGCTTAAGTTAGAATTCTGGCACAGCGAGCCTCAGATGCCCTTCACGTTCAGATCTGGACATAGCAGCCTGTGTGGGACTTAACTCATTAAATAAACCCAGTTGGACCGATACTTTTCAGTCCTTCTAACACCGGCTTTTTAAAACTGTCTGCCCAGGGCCAAGGAGCACAATTGATTTGGTGTCTTCCAATCTTGCTCAACTTTTATAGGAATTAAGTTTCAAGATAAAGCGATACATAGTGACGGTGTTGGGAGACTCGGGACAGAGCTTGTGATTAAACTGGGTTTAATTAATCCTGAGGAACTAGGTATTTCTAAATAAAGCCGGTTTACCAAGTACTCCATCAAAAATGGTCTTTAACATATTGAATAAGGTGTGCTCTTAGCCTATGATTCTTACTCAATGAGCTTTTGATTCCTGATCTACAAGGTGTTAAAACTGCTAAACCTTAAGTGTTTGAATAAGGAGACAACAGTCCCTTTTTGTATACCTTTTCTGTTGTTTTGAAATAGTTCAGCTCTTAAGAACAGTGTCCTTCCTGCCATGTTTGTGCTTTAGATGGATTCTGACTTATTTTGAGATAGATGACTTTAAATTATGACTAAATTGGCTAGAGTTGACAGTGAAAATACTATGGGGTTGGAGAGCCCGCTTAGCGGTTAAGAGCACTGCCTGCTCTTGCAGAAGACCCGGGTTCGGTTCCCAGCACCCACATGGCAGCTAACAACTGTCCGTAACTCCAGTTTCATGGGATCCGAAAGCTTCTTCTGTCCTCCACGGGCACTGAATTACACAGGTGCACTTATCTACATGCAGGCAATACACACATACACATAAAATAAAAATAAATCTCCCAGTTGCCTCCCAGTCACACCTGACTTCCACATTGCGCTTTATTAGAGCTTTCTCTAGGAAGACTTAGGACTATCTTTCAAGAATATTGGTAAACGTTTTCACTTTTGTGCATGAATCTACTTACTGATGCCACCTGGCACACCATGAGTCGTGCACAATGAACTGCCTTCATAAACCTACTATGTGCTCAAGTCCTATTGTTCTGTTTTGTTTTGTTTTTTCATCAGGAGAAAAATAACATTCTTATTTGCCTTTACTAAGCTACCGCTTTTATTGTTAGTGCCTCAGTTTAAACTTGCTTTACACATAATTTTCTGCAATAGCAAAGATGCCATTCCTCACTTTGCTCTCATCAGTTTCTTATGCCCCAGTCAAACCTACCACGCACCCTGTTTGATAGCTTTGACATGGTAATCACTACTACTTGAGCATGTTTAAAAATTAGTTGCCAGACTGGAGTAAAGATTGTGAGGTTAAGAGCACGGACTGCTCTTGTAGAGGACTCAGTTGTATTCCCAGCACCCATAATGTAGCTAACAACTGTCCGTAACTCCAGTTTCATGGGATCTGACATCCTCTTCTGTCCTCCCGGGACATTGCATGACACGCGTGTGTCTACACGCATGCATGCAATACACTCATACACTCATAATATATATATATATATGAAAATAATAAATATATTGTGTTTTTATAGCAGTTTGGTAACAGTACCAAAATACATGGTGCTCTACAGGCTACCGTTGTGTGTCTGCGGGAGGAGGGTGGTGGGAGCAGTAAGTCAATAAGTGAATTAATCCATTTTCTGTAGAGAATTGAAAAGTAATGGTAAAATTTGGTATGTTTCCTTTTTATTATCACCACATGCTTATAATTATAAACAGTGATGAAATATTCTCCAACTGCCCATCCTCAGCCACCACTGCTGCAGTTGGCAGATGGAACTTGATTAGCTACATCTCTGAATCTGAGCCTGTATGCTTGGCTAGGGTTCTGTGATATCCATATGGTTTGGTATTAAATCCTACTCTTTATTTATTTGCAAAGTTAAATAAAGGATTTAGCATCATGCCTGGATGGATGTAGCCCACACGTTCATACATATATGCATATGTATTTCTCAGGCAAGCTTTTGAAGTTTCTTTTGAGACAGGGTATCACTATGTAACCCTGACTGTCCTGGAACTCCCTATGTTGACCATGCTAGTTTCGAACTCACAGAGATCACCTCTTGAAATCTTTAGAAAACAAATTAAATGGTAAAAGAAATACTGACCTTGCAACATTTGTATTCTACAGAATCAATTCTCAAAATATATTTGCTTTTTGCATTATTTGATATATAATCTGCCTTTCTTTTTTGTTACATTGTGCAAATTGGTACTGGATCTCCTCTTTTGGCAGTTAGATATCCTGTGCTATGAACTAATTTTTACATTGCCATAATTTAGATGATGAACCTGCAATTGGGAGGCAATGAAGGCGTGATGTTGTATGCCTTCTCAAATGCATATTTATAATTTGTACCCCGATTTTGCAGGTAATTGAGTTCATGACATTTAAAAATTACTTGTGAATAGATGAGTATATGATTTTGGATTTTTGCTAATATTGCACTAATTCCTTTCTGTTAAATGTGTCTTCATAGATTATGTACACTCTGCTTGCAGAAATGCTTATCAGGGCTTTAATGGTAAGTATTGTCTTTCATTTCTTCCTAATTATGTTGAGGGGATGTATTTTAGCTTTTTTTCCCCATAGAATCCATAAAAATAAAGGCATCAATGTGAAAAACCAGCCCCAGTTTGTTTCAGACATTGTTTTGATTCATGATTAAGTACTTCCAGTGTTAACCACACTATATATAGTGTTTCTCTTTCTCTGTGTGTATGTACATACGTACTCACTGGTGAATCTCATGAATGCTGCACACAAGTACTCTGCCACTGAGTTAACCCCAGCCTTATATATAATATTTACATTTGGGATCAGAAAAAGTTAGGAGTTAGGTTACTTTGACTTTGTGTTTTATTTTACTTAGCTTTTTTTTTTTTTTTTTTTTTTTAAGAATATACTAGCTGCATGTATGTAAGGGTCAGCTGGCCTGGAACTCACTCTGTAGACCAGGCTGGCCTGGAACTCACAGAGATCTGCCTGCCTCTGCCTCCGGAGTGCTGGGATTAAAGTCCTGTGCCACCACACCTGGCTTGCTTACTTAGCATTCTTTTATTTCTAACTACATTCTGAATGATTGAATTGTAGGACACTGGCAAAATTATTTTTGTTGAATTAAGAGACGTTGTTTAGTAACAGTAAGTGAATTTTTGTCTTGGTTTTATATGGCTTCTGTTGTAATGTGTTCTGGTCTTGTTTTTGAGGCCATTTTTCTCTGTGTTCAAAAGTGTGATAAAAAGCTGTCCAGAGAAGCACATGATGAGGTCTAATTGCTTATTAACAAAAGCGTGATGTTAGATTAGTGATAAGTAGGAATAGTGGATTTGTTTTTTCTTTTTTAGAGAAAGAAATTTGGAATCATAGAAGGTTTAACTGGAGAATTGGACTTGATTTCTAAAGATAAGACTTGAAATGCAAAAATCATGTAGGCCAGAAACTTACTACGTTATTAATGTATTACCAAAAAAAAAAAAAAACCCCTTAATACGGTACCTTTTATATTCCAATTTTAACTCCAGTAGTGAGTCTCACCTGAAGGTGATTGTCATAAATCTCTGGGAACATTTTAACATGGATATTGTTCAGACTGTGGCCTAGATGCTTTTAAACCTTAATACTTCATTTCAGGGCAAGGGGTCCCTGGCTGGGTGGTGCAGAGTACTCTGAATAAAAGATTTTTGACTTTTATGTCTGGTTAAAGACCACTACTTGAAAGTACTTTGAAGTCTTAGTTGTTAACATTTTACAAGTGAGGACCTTAATTTCACGAGTTTGATTTGTCTTCATTTAACAAATACTTATTTACTACCTGCTGTGTGTCCAGGTATTGTTCTAAGAGCTGGGACTTTACCTGTGAGTAGAAGGGACAAATATATTCATGCCCTTGTGGAACTTGGAGTCTAATGGGATGAAACATGCAGAAAACGATTTTAAGAAGTAACATATTGTATGTTAGAAGATAAAAATGGTTAGAAACAGTAATGCAGGAAAATTGTGTGTGTGTGTGTGTGTGTGTGTGTGTGTGTGTATACGTGTATACATGAGAGATGGATTTTACAGTTATTGAGGAAGGGCTCAAGAAAAAAATGACATTTGATCATAGAGTTTAAGGAGTTGAGGATGCAAACCTTGAGGAAATCTAAACAAAGAATGTAATAAGCTTTAGAAGATATTAACAAAAGATGTGTTGTGTTGATACCAAATGAAGCCTTGTGTTTTCTCTCTTTCTACTGAAATAAAGTGACCGGTATCAGAGAAAACATGTCAAGATGCAGATTTCCTTGCCACCATTTTTTGGAAGGGAATCATTACTCCCAGGTCTCCATGTCCTCTCTGTTTCATACTCTCCTTACACAAACAGCAGTTGGATAAAGGGAGAGCATTTTTGGTAGAGGGAAATGCCAAACAAAGGTAGGACTGAGAGCACTGAGCTTCAAAGAGACTGAGAAGACTGGTTTGACCAGAGCAGATTATTTTTGCTGAGTAGTCTGAAGACAAGACTAGAGAGGTGAGATGTAGCCAGAGGCATTGAAAAATTAAAGGCACTCTGCTAATATATAAGAATCAGCAGAAAATGAAGACCTAAAAGAGTTGAGTTAGTGAGCAGTGACAATTCAGGGAAAAGCATTCCTGGTAGAGGGAGTAGTAAGTGCAAACATGGGTGTGTATCTGTTGTGTTCTAGAAATAGCAGAGAGCTATTTCTGTAGGGTGAGTGGAACAAATGAGGCTGTAAGGTAGACAGTGGGGTTAAGAGGTGTTAGGGCAGATGAGCATATAGCAAACTTTGGCACTATTGACATGTTGAATTAGTTGATTTTTTTGTTGTAGGGTAGTTTGTGTGAGTGCATGTGTGTTTGTGTGTGTGCATGCAGAATGTTGAGTAATATCCTTGATCCTTGTTTGCTAGATGTTAATAGCACCCCTCCCCGCCCCAAGTTAATGACAAATAGAAATGTTTATAGACCTTGCCAGTGTTCCTTGGAGGGGGTGTGGGGTATGGCAGAGTTGCCCCTGGTGAAGAACTAGTTGGAGCTGATTAGTGTGTAAGGGCACTTGCAGTGGACCTGCTGAGGTCCTGAGTTTGGATCTCTAGCACCTACACTGCTATGGGTTGAGTGCAGCTGCCGTGTCATGTCTGCAAGACAAACTGAACACGATACAATGGCTTTTCTTAGAACTATATGATACTTTGGTATATAGTATAATTGTTTTATGTGTATTTCCTGTTTCATGACATTGAATATCAAAAAGATGTGCTTAAATCAAAGATTAGGACTTAATCAAATTAATAATTACTCCTTCATCAAGGGCATTTTTAAGTGAGGATGTTAGTAACATTGCTTATTTTGGGGGGTGGGAAAGATGGCTTAGCAGTTAAGAGCACTGACTGCTCTTGCAGAGGACCTGAGTTTAGTTCTCAGCACCCACATCAAGGCTAAAAACCATCCATAACTCCAGTTCCAGGTGATTCAGCACCCTCTTCTGGCCTCCCCAAGAATTCCATGCATGTGGTGTACTTACATGCAGGCAAAACACTCACACATAAAATTATTTTTCACTGTGGATGTTTGATATTAATATAATGACTGCTAGATTAGTCTGGTGCTGCTCACTTCCTTGATTTGTACAGAAGTGCCTCTTTATCTACCAGTGTTTCTACACCTGTTAGTGCAAATGCCACGGAGAAGGCAACCAAGATCCTTGTTATTTATGAAATAGTTCTGATACCTGGAAAGGGTCTCAGCAACCTTCTGGTCAGCAAAGCATTCCCTGATAACTGCTCCTCTAAGATAAATGAAAGATGAGAAGTTTTGAGACCGACAAGGAGGGTCAGCTCACTTGCCACTGAGCTTAAGCACCTGAGTTCAGGGCTTCCACATGTGCCTCTGTACTCTCTCTCCTCTTTCTCTCTGTCTCTTTCTCACACATGCTAATAAATTTAATAAGAAATTTAAGATGAGACCACAAGCAGCAGAATATGGTAATATATAAAATCTTAGGTAAAAGAAAGACAACACTCAACTGAGACTATAAGTAAAAGTTTTATTGAGTGGCTTAGTATTTGAAATAGACTTTAAAAAATTAGAAGATTTCAGATAGATACTTGATTGGTAGAAAAATGTTTTATGTAGAAACAACAGCATGTGGCTTGACAGGAGCATATCTGTAAGTCTTTAGAAAACTTCCTCTTTTTGGACTTTAGCTCTCAAAAGTATAGGATATATAATGAAAATATATTTTATATAGTGAAATATCTATAAAGTAAAAAGATTAAATTTGATCATAAGGCGACTTTCAGGCTTAAAATGCCAGATTCTCAGGGCTAGAGAGATGGCTCAGCCATTAAGAGCATGTGTTGCTCTTACAGAAGACCTAAGTTTGATTGCCAGAACCCACTTTGGGCAGCTCACAGTCACCTGCAACTCTGGCTCTAGGGAATCTGATGTCCTCTAGCCTCCAAGGGCACTGGTACCCAGATGCACATATCTATACACAGACACATACCCATACAAGTAATTTTTTAAAAAAGCCGGATTCTGAGTAGTAGTTATATAAAGTAGTTGCTCTTATTGTTCAGACTAGAAACATTAAATGACTGTAAGTACAGTTTAGTGTTTGTAAAAAGTACAAATTAAGGCATTAACTCCATGTCTACTGTTGTATTTGTAACATAAAATATGAGGTGAGTAGTAATGAGGTATTTTTAGGGACTTCAAGAAGCATTCTTAATGGTTGTTTTTACTTTTCCATCTTTATAATCATCAATTTTTATAATCTTGTGTTTTTCTAGTAAGTTCACTCCTTTTAGCATTCAAATTTTTTAGTGTTTATGTTGTGAGAATCATACTCATTTCCTTATTCGAGGGATTTGAGAGTTTAAGCATTCACTGAGGCCTTGTTATTCACAGGCACGGTGCCGAGGGCTGGGCTGGCTTCTGGTTTTACTTGTTATCTGTATCAGTTACTATCAACATGACCAGTTGAAAATACAGGATTTTAGTTTTTAGACATTTTGAGAACAGTCAGGTGCAGAAAACAAGTAGTATATTTATGCCATGGTATACTTAGGACCAAAAAACAATCTCTTATGACATTTATTAAATACTGACTTTTTTGAGACTAGCAAATATTTTATTATGCTGTAGTACTAAGTACTAAATACAAGGCTTTAAGTAGTAAATATTGGTTAAATTGAAAATCATTTTAATATAGAATTTCATAGTTGATAGTGTTTTTCTTTGTAAAATGAAGTTTGTTAGTAAAAATTTTTCAGTAAATTTATTATTTACTAAAATCCTTGCATTTTTTTCCTTCAATATTGAATTCAAATTGAGCTTAAATATGAATGTGAATTATTGCATCAGATGATATTCTTGTGTTTTAATAGAAAAATTTGTGAAAAGGTATATTTTATGATAATTTCTTGTTTGCTCCCTTAGGAATGGATCGTGATTATGGCCCTGGATCTTATGGAGGTCTGACATTCAAGGATATTTTTCTAAAAATTCTTCTTTTGAGTGCCAGTAAAGGTGAGCATCATTTAATTTTTTTTCTTTTTAAACTCTTATAGGGATGGATCGTGACTATGGCCATGGATCCTATGGTGGTCAAAGATCCATGGATTCCTACCTAAGCCAGTCATATGGCATGGACAATCACAGTGGTGGTGGTGGGGGTAGCAGGTAAATTGCTTACTCACTTGGCCAAATAATTAGACAAATATAAGATTCTGGATATATTAGTTATTCCTTAGGCTTGTTTTGATACTTGAACTTCGCTGTTTGGTATTGTATAATCACCTTAAATGTTTAAAGGTGCTAATTAACAGATATAACAATAGTCTCAGTATCACTTGCAGACATTATTTTAGAAAACACCAGATAATTTACCTTTTCAGTATAATAGAATAAGAAGACAATTCTTTAACAATGAACGCTTTTTAAAAACTTCTTTTACTTTTAATTCCTTATCACTCAAAATGTCTTGAATAAATGATATAAAATGTTATTGGAAATATTTATTTATGAAGCTCTTTCATAATGGTTAAGTTTTCTTTTTCTAATGTGGATTCTATGAAATAGGAAAATAGTCTGACTAGAGTGAGTTTAACTGGACCAGTCTAGCAGCTTTCAGTTTGTAAGAAACATTTAAGATAGATTTTCATTTAATTTTCATTTTAAAGCAAGTTTGAAGAGCATATTGTAATAATAGACATGTTCTTTAAATCATCCAGGTTATTTATTTGTATTTACAACTTATACCTGAAACTTGTGTTTAAGGTTAGGAACATTGTTCAGCTACAGTCTAGACTGTTGTATTTCATTGTTGCTACCTGTAAGAGGCTTAAATTGAGTTAAATAATTACATCTTTAGGGGTGACCATATTTCAGTAACTCTGAGGGGGTTTGTTTTTTAAGACACAAAGCTTCCTTCTAAATACTATGTGAAACTAGTTAGGAGACATTTGAAACCTTCTTCCTTCTTCATAAATTGAAGGATCCGGATTCCTTACTGATGGACTTGAATGATGCTTGCTTTTCTTTCTGTTTCAAGTGTGTCACTATGGTTTATAGTTGAGTAAAAATCCAGAAAACAAACTGTTAACAACAATCCTTAAGTGATTGAAATAAGTAGTTGAAAAGAAGAATGAATAGTTTCTATGTGGCTGCTAGGATTCAGAATTAAGTAGCATCTTCTGTTGATCCTGTAAATCATTGAACTAATGTAACATCATTTAAATGTTTTAGAATATCAGTTAATTGCCTTCTTAACGTTGTAAATGTAGTATACATAAACTATTTCTGTAGATGTTATCATTCATCTCTTGTGCATTTGTGGGCTTTATAAAACTGTGTTGTAAGATGACAACTTCTGTAATCCATGTTTTGGATTTGTGATAAGTAAATGATTTGTTTTTTCTGTTGAGACAGTGTGCTCCCCTTTTAGAGTAGTTTTATGTGATAGGTTCCTAATAGGAAATAATTTTTCAAATACTTGAAGGCATTATAAAATGTATTCTTTCTCATCTGCTTTGAAAATTCATGTGCAGAGGGTATATGTTGGTGGTCCTTTATGTTCTATTTTTCATGTATATTCTTCTAGATTTGTTAGATTTATAGTCTATAAGTATGTCTATAAGATGTGCTTAAGGATTGACCTTGGCTGCAGTTTGGCAGATTGTCAAACTCTATGACCTGAGATAATTCCTCAAACTTTGATTATTACAGACCCAATGAGGTAGTTTTGTGATACAGATTATTGGGGTGCAAAAGGATCGCTCAGTGTCACAAAGAGCCCACATCTATGTAGTCTTCAATTTGCGTCCCTATGGAAAGCCAAAATACTGTAAATGCTTTATAATTTTAATATTAGGGATGGAATCAAAGAAAGTTTGAATAGTTTGTGAACTTTAGCAAATGACCTTTCAAGACTAGGGCTGGGCTTTAATTATTAAGACAGACATATCTTATTAAATAGAAAAACCTGTTAAAAAGCAGATTTTAAAGCTAAGGTTAACTAAAGCAATTTATATTTTGAAACTGACTCAGATAGCTTTCTGTCTGGTCTCATGTTGAACTGCCCAGCCCTAATCAAGTGTGAACAAATTAGAACTATGCAAACCACTGATATAAATGAATTTTAGTTGATAAATGTCATCTGCTAATTTGTCTTTTGAATTGTCTAACATTAGTAAGCTTACTTTTGTTTTTTCCCTCACTGTGCAACTTTTCCAGGTTTGGACCTTATGAGTCTTACGACTCCAGGTCTTCTCTGGGTGGGCGAGATCTGTACAGATCTGGCTATGGTTTTAATGAACCCGAACAAAGCCGCTTCGGAGGTAGTTATGGTGGTCGATTTGAGAGCTCCTACCGGAATAGCCTTGACTCTTTCGGAGGTAGAAACCAGGGCGGGTCTAGCTGGGAAGCACCTTACTCCCGTTCAAAATTGAGGCCTGGGTTTATGGAGGACAGAGGAAGAGAGAATTACTCTTCCTACAGCAGTTTTTCTTCACCCCATATGAAGCCTGCACCTGTAGGCTCTCGGGGGAGAGGAACGCCTGCTTATCCTGAAAGTACGTTTGGAAGCAGAAACTATGATGCTTTTGGAGGACCATCAACAGGCAGAGGCCGAGGCCGAGGAGTAAGTACAACAGAATCTTTTCAGATTCTTTTCAATAGTCACTCTTTTAAACCCTTTCAAGACCATGGTTTTCAACTAGAATAAACACTGTTTGTCCCAGTGTATTTTAAGCAAAAGCTGTCATAAACTCAGTTTTAGGTTGACTGTAAAAGTTTTCCAGCACCTCAGAAAATAGGTGGCAGTGTGAGAGATTGTTCATTAAGTTATGTCAAATCTCCCTTTATTAAAAAGGTGAGGCTATTAGGTTTGGTCTAAAAGGGGTTAAAAGGAGTTGCATTTTTCCTTGTAAACACTAGCAGTTTTGCTGGTGGGACAGTTCTTGGATGATTGTAAAAGGTAACTGAACCCTTTCTGAGTTTTTGAGTAGGTTAAAGGTGCAATGTATGATAAAGTGTTTATTTCTTGTTACTAAACTCTAGGAAGTGGAGTTTCTTCACAGTTCCTTGCTTCGTGTTACACATGAGAGACCAAAAGTTGATGGTAGGTCAGGATAGCTTAGCCATGTTTACATGGTGAAGAAGTTGATATGTATACTAGATTGTAGAATGATTTGTGGTCAGTATAATTTTGCTAACTTGCTCTCTTATTGTATGTCCTTTTGGTGGTGGTTTTACTTCCCCTTGTTTCCCCTAGCTCTATTGAGAAATAATCTCTTACCTGTGTAGACATGTGTATGGCTTCTTCCTAGGAAGTAATATTTTGCAGGTTATTGCCTAACTGGGTAAATATACCAGTCTCTAGGTTTTAAATGTCAGGATACACAGTGTAACAATTATGCTTGTGGTCTTGGGTAACTTGATAAGAAATTTTCATCTAGTAAGGGTATATAGATTGTGGGATTATGTAGTTTGATCATATCTGCCTTACTGTATTGTTGCTGTAATAAAAGGGTTTTGAAAGTCAGTTGAACATAATAATCTCTTTGCAGAAGAAAATACTTGTGATAAAAAATATAGTTCATATTTTTGGCTGTTTATTAGCCTTTGATCATGTAGTTTGTCTTATGTAGAAATTTTGCATTTTTATCAGTCATTGTTTACTTACATAAAATGCATTGCACCTTTAATGGATCATTAATGAAGATTTTTTTTGATGTGGCCATATAAATTACCTGGAGACATTTATTCAAATCTACTAGGTTAGGTAGATAGTTCTAGTCATATACTAATATACAAGCAGCAGTGTGTCACAGCTCTTCCACCATTCTTGACGATGTGGGTTAGTTAAAAGTAGTGGGAGTAGCAGGCTTTGGGTTTTCAAACTGAAAATACATTCCAATTTAAAAAATCTGCAAAAACATTTAACATGTTCCATGTTGTGTTTTATTTTAGTCAAAGGATTTTTTTCTTAATGGGTACTCAGATATCAGTTTTTGTTTTCTTGACAGTTAAACCAAGTATTCCTGTACTTTGTATTTCCCATTCTAGTCTGAGTGGACTGACTTTCTTTTCTTCTGTTAACGAAGTAGATGAACCAGTAGGATCTTCAGTTTTAATCTTCACTTGTACAATTCCCATTGGGTCCTTCTCTTCAGATTACTCCTCAATCCTTACCTTCTAAAAGTAAGATTAGCAGAATAAATTTCTATGGACATGGCCTCTTGGTATAGTGGATTTTGTTAATGGCAAGAGAAGAGGAAGGGACACAAAGAGTCGTTGATGGTGTGACTCTTCATCTGTAAACTTTTGCCTCTTGGGTTTCTGGGTCATAATATGTTTCTTTAGGTAAGAATGTGAATGGAACGTCAGATGCAATTCTTTATCTGAAGTGTGTCTTGGAAGTTGATGCATGGTTATGCTTTAACTCTCCTATTTCATACTAATGTTCCATCTCGCCTTCTCATTCCCTTTTTCAACAGGGAGAAATCCTAAATGATTTCTGGATCTTTTTTACTTCAAACTACAAATATGATCATCTTTGTGTATCTTAGTTTTTAAGCCAGGTTTTAGTAAAATAAAGATTTCTTTTAAGGTCTTTCATGGGAAAACATCAAGTAGGAACTCTGAAGAGGAGTTGTCAGAGAGTTGTACAAGTGGTAAACTTCTGACAGGCACACATGGTGTTTGTGATCGCAAATAATTTTGAACTGTAAAAATTAAAAAATAGGACATATCCACATTTGTTTTATTGGAAATACTAATTCACTGGATTTGAGTTCGTGTAATAATTCATAAAATTTTTATATGCTTTTTCTCAGTGGACATGTAAAATTCAGTTAAGTTCCACGAATTTCCAGGTGAAAATTAGTAAATAGATGACATAAAATTTAGTATTAATTCATATTTTATCTTTGGTCATTATGCTAATGTTCCTTGATTTCACAAATTTACAGCATATGGGTGATTTTGGAAGCATTCATAGACCTGGAATTGTTGTTGACTATCAAAACAAACCCTCCAATGTCACGATTGCTACTGCAAGAGGAATAAAAAGAAAAATGATGCAAATATTTAATAAGCCTGGGGGAGCCTTTATCAAGAAACCTAAGCTAGCAAAACCTATGGAGAAGATGAACCTCAGCAAATCACCTAGTAAGTAAGAAGGCAATTGCTGTGGTTCAGGATACTTTTAATTTTTAAAAATATATTGCTTTATGGTAATTGTTTAGTGTTTAGTATTCATATAGAAAATTGTTTAGTAATTCTAACTTAAAATTAGATCTTCAGACCCCATTGTATAGATATTTATTGTTTATAGCTGTTGAAATGTCCCCTTGAAAATTTTTTAAAAATTACATTTTATGTATGTATGTATGTGGGCACACAAAAGTGCCACAGTGTACACTACGTGGTCAGAGGGTAACTTGAGGAAGTTGATTCTCTCCATAATGTGAGTCCCAAGGGTTGAACTCCTGTCAGGCTTGCCTTGTTGGCCCAGCTTCCCGGGTCTCAAGTGTACTTTTAAAATTAAAATTGATTTTTCTCTGAATCCTATGTGGTGGGGCCTGGATTTCTGTATCTATATTTTTTTTCAAAAGATTTTGCATGTGATTTTGCTTCATACCTCCTTCTTGTTGGATGTTTTATTATGGGAGGAGTGATGTGTTAGAACCCAAGAATCTTCTTTCTGAGGACAAAGGGAAGAAAATTTTCCTAGTTGGTACTAGCTAAGTTTTGTTTGTTTGTTTGTTTGTTTTTGAGAAAGTTAAATGCTTTTAATCTTCTGGAGATGATGTTTCTTAGAGATAATCATATTTCTCTTTCTACTTTGAGTGGTAGAAAATTTGAACCAATCTGAAAATTGAATTAAGATAATTTCTTTTATCATAGCACTTAGGGGAATAGCATACCCAGTAATAAATCTAACAAAAGAAGTGCAAAACTGACAAAACAGTATTGAATGAAAGAAAATATAAATTAATGGGAAAACTAAACTTGATTGGAAGACAGTGTTACCCAGAAAGGATTAGCTTTCAAATTGAAATTATAGATTGAGCACAGTCCTTTCAGCATTCCAGCTGATGAAGACTCACATTTCATAATTTATCATCTTAATACAAAACAAGGATAATCAAGACAGAGTGGTACTGGCACGATGACTGACATGTATGGATGTGGAAAAAGTTGAGAAACCATAAATAAGCCAAACATTATGTTCTACTGGTTTGTAGCAAGGGTGTGGCAACTGTTCAGTGCAGGAGAGAACAGTCTTTCTGACAGATGATGCTAAGACAGCTTACTAGCCACATAGAAAAGCTGAAATGCAAGAAATATTTATAAGACCCAAACTTACAAAACTCTTAGAAGAATACATACAGGGTAAATGTTCATGATTTTTGGATTTGGCAAGGAATTTTTACATGGGACACCAAATACGTGAGCAACAAATAAAAGTGAGTAAATTGGATTTCATCAAAATTAAAAAAAAAAATATATATATATTTTTTTGGTCTTTTTGAGACAGGGTCTCCCTGAAGCCCCAGGTGGCCTGGAACTCACTATGTAGACCAGGCTGGCCTTGAACTCACAGAGATAGACCTGACTCTGCCTCCCTAGTGATGGGATTAAAGGAGTGTGTCACCACACCTAGCTAAAGTAAAAAATTTTGTGCTTCAAAGGTCACTATCAATAGAAAGTGAAAAGACGTTAGTGAGTGTGGTGATACACACCTGTAATCTTAGCACTTGGGAGTCTGAGACAGGAAGATTGTGAATTTGAGGTCAGCTTAGGGTTCATAAGACTCTCTCCTACTGCTCCCACAATGGGAAAATATTTTTGCAGGACTGGAGAGATGTCTCTGTGGTTAAATGCACTGGCTGCTCTTGCAGAAGACTTGAGTTCAGTTCCCAACACTGAGTCACATGGTGGTTAATAGCCATACCTAACTCCAGTTCTAGGGGATCCAATGCCCTCATCTGGCTTCCACTGGCATCACATGCATATGGTGTACCTACATACATGCAGGCAAAATACTCATGCAAAAACAAAAAAAAGACCCAAAATTTTGCAAACTACCTGAGAAAGAACATATATCCAGAATATATAAGGAACTCTTATAACTCAATAATAAAAAGACACAAATAATTTTAAAAATGAGAAGGACTATATACGTACTTTCTGTCCATTTCTTTCTTCATTCTCTTTTCTTTTTTAAAGACTGGGTCTAACTATGTAACCCTTGGCCTGGCTTGCTATGTAGACTGGCCTGGAACTCACAGAGAGCTGCCTGGCTCTGTCTTCTGAGTGCTGGGATTAAAAGTGTGCTGCCACACATTTCAAAAAAAGAGATATAAATGGCCAATAAGCATATGCCAAGGTCCACAACAATTGCTTATCAGATAAATGCAAACCAGTACCACAGTTAGATACTTTATACCCATCTGATGGCGAAAGTAAAAATGGTGGCTAATAAACCTTAGCAAGGCTGTGGAGAAATCATTTAAAAATATTTGATTAAAAATAATTAACTTGCCAGGTGTGGTGGTGCACGCCTGTAATCCCAGCACTTGGGAAGCAGAGGCAGGCAGATCTCTGTGAGTTTAAGGCCAACCTGGTCTACATAGTGAGTTCCAGGTCAGCTGGGGCTACAGGGAGACCCTGTCTCAAAAAGACAAAAAAAAAAAAAAAAAAAAAAAAAAAAATTTTAGGGGCTGGAGAGATGGCTCAGCGGTAAGAACACTGGTTATTCTTGCAGAAGACCCAGGTTTGAATCCCAGCACCCGTATGGCAGCTAACAACTGTCCGTAACTCCAGTCACAGGGGACCTTACAGCCTCTTCTGACCAGTGCGGGCATTGGATGACATGGGTGCACTTACTTACATGCAGGCAATACACACATACACGTAAAAAAAAAAAATAATTATTTTGATTTTATGTGTGAGTGTATGGCTGCATGTAGGTAAGTGCACCCATGTCGTGCAGTGCCGGTGGAAGTCAGAAAAGTCGGATTTCCCTGGAACTGGAATTACAGATGGTTGTTAGCTGCCATGTGGGTGCTGGGAATCAAACTCTAGTCCTCTGCAAGAGTAACCAGTGTTCTTAACCACTGAGCCATCTCTCCAGCCCCACTTCACTTTTAGAGAGAGAGAGAGAGAGAGAGAGAGAGAGTATTTTTTTCACATCTGTATATGAGGGTGTATATGCCTGTGAGTACACATGTGGAGGCTAAAGGTGGACATTGTATTTCCTGCTTTGTCACTCTCTACCTTATTCCCTTGAGAGAAGGTCCCTTACTGAACTGGGTGCTAGGCTGGCAGCCAGCAGGCCCCACTGTTTCTGTACTCCAAAGTACTGGGCTATAGGCATCAGTGTGGCCACATGTGTCTTTTTACATGAGTGCTAGGGATTCAAGCTTGGGTTTTTCATGCTTGTGCAGCAAGTACCCTTATTCACTGAGTCCCTCAGCCCACTTTTTATTTTTAAAGAACTTTTTTCTAATTATAACATTATATATATATATTATATATATAGACTTGGGTTCGATTCCCAGCACCTACGTGGCGGCCATGAATCATCCATCCTTAACTCCAGTTCCAGGGGAATCCGAAGCCCTCTTCTCTTCTCTGTGGCATTGCACGCCATGGGTGCACTCACATACATGCAGGCAATACACTCATACAAAATAAAATAAAAATAATAAAATATTTTTTTTAAAAAAAGCTAAAAAAAAAAAAGATACTTACTATGCTGGGTGCGGTAGTGCATGCCTTAATCCCAGCACTCAGGAGGCAGAGCCAGGCAGGTCTCTTGTGAGATGGAGGCTAGCCTGGCCTACATAGCATATTCAGGCCAGCTGGGGCTACAGGGAGACCCTGTTTATAAACAAAACAAAGATATTTACTGAACTGTTTATAATGTGAGTTTTTGTCCTATTATGATAGTATAGATTAAATGTTTTGTAGAAAATTAGGAGGGCTAGAGATGTAACCCATTTGGTAGAGCGCTTGTCTAACATACACAGACAGACATGTGGTTCTATTCCCAGCACCACATAAACTAGACTGTGGTAGCTCATAACTGTAGTCCAACACTGTCAGGAGGTGGGAAGTAGGAGGACCAGAAGTTTAAGGTCATCCTCAGCTACTTAGAAAGCTTAAGAGCAGCCTAAATCATAAATACACATATTTCATTTGACTTGATGTAGAACATTTGTAGTTTCAGTGTATGGAAGGAAGATGAAATTCGTGTTTGAAGTAATGTTAAGTAGATAAAATTTATTTGCTTCTACTTTTTGTGTATGAGTGTTTTGCCTGATGTATCTAAGTGTACCATGTGTATGCAATACCTGTGGAATCCAGAAGAGGTGGTGGAATCCCCTGGAACCTGGAGTAAAGGAAAGTTGTTAGCCATCATGTGACAGGTACTGGGAACTGAACCCAGGTTCTCTGCAGGAACAGACAGGCCAGTGCTCTTAACTGCGAAGCCATCTCTCCAGCCATATAAATAGGGAATATTTGATTTACAGGGAAAATTTGTTGGAAATCTGTGAATGAGGGTATTAAAATGCTTAATAAAAGAATATGCAGTTAAACTCAAAGTGATTAATGTAGAATAAACTTTAGAGTACTGATTTTGTATAATTTTGAATTCATCACTGTATATATAGGAAGCACTTAATAAACATTTGCTTAATGTCAAATTTAAAGGAAGATTTTAAGGATAAGTAGGTAAGATTTTTTTTTTTTTTTTGAGTGAGTCTCATGTAGCTCAGGCTGGTCTTGAGTTTTAGGTATTAACAGTATTGTCCCTTTCAGTAAAGCAAGTAAAAATAAGCAGATTTAAAGAAAAATTGGAGGCAGATAGGCACACATATATATGAAGCAAATATGGAAAGAGTCCCAGTGTATTAAAATTATTTTTTTTCCTAATATCCTAGCAAAAACTGATCCTAAAAGTGAAGAAGAAGAAAAGCGACGGATTGAGGCTCGTCGAGAGAAGCAGAGGCGTAGAAGAGAGAAAAACAGTGAAAAATATGGAGATGGATACAGGTTAGTAGAATTAAAAAATGTGGCTCATCTTCCTAAAACAAGGAACTCTAGAAAGGCTGACTAGACTCAGTGGATGGAGTAAGATTGTTTGGGATGTTCTGTATGAAATACAAAAAAAATCAATAAAAGAAATGAGTTATGTTTGAGAAGGAAGCATAAAGAAAATGTGGCTTATTAAAGATAGTTTTCTAGTGAAGCTCCCTCATGCAGCAAAGGGCCAGAAACACAGAAGGTCACAAATGGCCAAAGTGTAGAGATCAAGAGTCTGCTAAATAATGGTTCTTGGACAGGACTCCTTTATTAAACTTCATCCACCCAAGGCTCAAGCTGGGTGCATTTCTTAAGCATGATGGCACATGCCTGAAATCTCAGCACTCAGGACACTGAGGCAGGATGTTCAGGATAGCCTAGGGTATATAATGAGACCCTACTCTTTTCTTCCTAGAAAAGATAGATGCATGAATTGGAATATGATAAAGTTCTTGAGTCAAGTGAAAAAGATTTGACTAAAGAAATATAGGAATGGGGCTACAAATGGAGCATAGTTAGTAGGGTGTTTGCCTGCAATACACAAAGCCTTTAGTTTAGTACCCATTACTTCATAAGCATGGTGCACAGATATAATCCCAGCCCTTGGGAGGTGGGGCATGGCAATAAGAAGTTCAAGGTCATCCTATATAGGGAGCTTGAGGTCATTGTGGGGTATATGAGACCTTTTCTCAAACAAAAAAAGATAAATAGAAATTATTTTTATTTTTAGTAGTTATGTAATCTTAGTATAAGAGGGAAAAAAAGAGTCCTATTTATAATGGTAATCCAAAATTATAAAGTAGAAATAATAGTTTTTCTTAGCATTTTAACACGAAGAAAACTGTATCATCTTGAGATTTGACTATACAAAGATATAGTGATATCCTTGGCTAGGACAGCTTGATTGTTACTAATGCATAAGTTATTTCCATTAGCAATGACAAAATTATGAAAAAGGACAAATGAATAGGCACTACCATTTAAAAAATTTTGATTCTTTGAGAATTTTATATATTTTTATCATATTCAGACACTCTTCCTCAGATCCCCTTCCCTGTTTCCTCTTAGACTCACTCCTACCTCCCTATGCCCCTCAATTCCTGTCCTCTATTCTTTTAAGGCCTATGGAGCCTAATTTATGTTTCCCAAATGCTCTTGGGTGTGGGTCCATACCCTGGAGCCTAGTCAACCTATGTGGCATAACACCCTTAAAGAAAACTGACTCCCCCCCCCCCCCATGAGTTTAGGTACTGGCATTTAGATACTGAAACATTAAAAGATTGTAATGCAGGGCTGCAGACATGGCTCTGGTTTAAGAGCGCTTGCTACACAAGCATGAGGACCTGAGTTTGACTCCTTAGCACTCATAAAAAGCTGGGTGTGGCTGTGCATGCTGTTGGGTCAGGAAGGGGTGAAGGGAGTATGGGGAAGGATAGGATTGCTGAACTGGTTTCCTGCCTAGTTCAAGATTCAGTGAGAGATCCTATCTCCAGGGAATAGGGTGTAGAGTGATAGAGCAGGACACCTGACATCTTCCTTTGACCTCTGTGTGTACCCACTCATTCACTGCCCCCACCCCTGGTTGTAATATGGGGCACAGTGGTAAAGTACTTTGCATATATAATGCCTGGCACTGAAAAAAAATAGTTAAAGACAAATGACAGAATCATTAGCCTGTGACTATATTTATGTAAGAAAGTAATATATAATGGTGTGGTGCTAAACAAAAGGGGGAGGAGGATTTGGTGGAACAACTAAATTTAAAAAATATAGGGGCTGGAGAGATGGCTCAGCAGTTAAGAGCAATGACTGCTTTTGCAGAGGACCTGGGTTTGATTCCCAACACCAGCATGATGGCCAACAACCATCTGTAACTCCAGTTCCAGGGGAATCTGACGCCCTCTTCTGACCTCCACAGCATTGCACAACATAGGTATGCTTACACACATGCAGGCAATACACTCATACATGTAAAATAAAAATAATAAATAAAATATTTTAAAAACCAAAAACAAACCCCATTAATTTAGAGCTATTCAATCTGAAATAAATCCAGATAGTTTAAAATCCTAAAAACAATGGAAAATTAAAGGAAAACATTTTCTTCTCTTTGAGGAAAAGTTTTTTTCCAGGCTTAAAGTTATTGGTAGGTATAAAAGAAATGTTCAACAGACTTGGCTAAATAAGGACACAAAACTTGAAAGCAAATGACTTTGAAAGATAGAGCCCTAAGAGGTGACTAATATCTAATTTAGACATTCAGATAAATTTACTTTGAACATTTTTTTAAAGTAAGAGAATTAATATGTCTAATATATAATTTGGTGAGGGAACATAGCTAGTCAACACTTTTAGGGAAAATGTTGAAACTTACAGTAACTTAAACCAAAAAATAAATAATAAACCATTGGATTACTGAGATAAATGAGAATGTTATCTAAGATGTAATAAAAATTACTTAAAATTTAATGATTACAACTATTAGGAAGCACTTAGTAATTCTGAAAATGTCACAACTCTTTGTATCTATTGATCGTTCCAAGGAAAGAATCTAAAACTAAGAAGAGTTTAGTCTACAGAGTGGTCCATTATAGCATGATTTACATGAACTCCTAACAGGAATTAAATACCAGGTCTATTTAATGATCAGGTAGATGTAAGTTTTGGTATACTCCTTTGTGAGCTCATTGTTAAAATTGAAGATTTTAAAATTTACAATAACATGGAGAAAAGGGCAAAATAGAAAAAAAAGAAAAACCCAATTAAAATATCAACTATGACCAGGCATGGTGGTACACGCCTTTAATCCCAGCACTCGGGAGGCAGAGGCAGGCGGATCTCTGTGAGTTCAAGGCCAGCCTGGTCTACATAGTGAGTTCCAGGACAGCTGGGGCTACAGGGAGACCCTGTCTCAAAAAGAACCCCCCCCCAAAAAAAAAATCAACTATGCATAGGGAAAAGGCTACCAGAAATTATTTTGGTGGAGCAGCATCTCCCTATGTAGTCCGTGCTGCCCTTGAATTTGAGAGCCTCCTTCCTCAGCCTCCCAGTTACTAAGATTACAGGCATGCCTATCTGGAAATTTTTTAAAAAGAACTGTAATTTATATTCTTTTCATTGTTTTCTGTGAACTCTTTCTAGGTACCCTTTTTGATAGGAAAATAAAGAACAAAGTTTTGAAAGCAAATATGTTTCTTCAAAGTGATTCTGTTCTTTAAATTTTAACTTGTGGAGCAGGAAAATAATGAAATGTTTCACATAAAGTGAATTTTCTAGGTAGTTCAGTTTTTATCTTCTAAAAAAATTTTATTATTTTAATTTTATGTGTGTGAGTATATTGCCTACATGTATGTAAGTGTACCCATGTCATACAAGGCCTGTGGAAATCAGAAGAGGGCCTTAGATCCCCTGGAACTAGTTACAGACAGTTGTTAGCTGCCATGTGAGTGTTGGGAACTGAACCTGTCTTCTGTAAGAGCAGCCAGTGCTGAGCCATCTTTCTAGCCCTCTCAGATTTTATCTTTGACAGATAAAACCTATCTAAAAATCTTTGATGGCAACTATTGAAATTGTGAATTTCCTTCCATGTTAAACAGGAAACTCTTCTGTTGTTACTTAGTCTCTATTTATACATTAGTTTATGTAAAGTGTAGTAAAGAAAATTGCCAGGTGTGGTGGTGCACACCTTTAATCCCAGCAATCGGGAGTTCCACGCCAGCCTGGTCTCTATAGTGAATCCAGGCCAGGCCAGCTGTGGCTACAGGGAGACTTTGTCTCAGAGAGACCAAAAAAAAAAAAAAAAAGAAAGAAAGAAAATTTAGTTGCATCTGAACCCTCAAGTATTTTGTTTGTTCTATCTTTGATTTTAGGCTCTTAGGTATATTTTCGTAATCTTGTATCTAGCTTTAATTATATGTTCTTTTTCTGGTTTGTTGCTCCTAATTTACTAGGATTTGAAAAATAATAGGGTTAACCATAGTAAGCATTACTCTATAAAGAGTACTTAACAGTTTTAAAAGGATTAATTTTGCTTTTTGCTCCGTATTTCTTTAATTCCACTTGGCATAGGGAATAGGTATACTTTAGTATCGAAATGAATTAAACAATTTGTATTAAATGTGTAGGGGTCTAAATATGATTATATATTACAAAGTTAACATTTAAATACAAAGTTAACATTTAATTACTCTGAGTACCTTTCCCATTACAAATTGAAAATAGATTTGATATAATGTAACTGTTAATAGACTAACTTTTGCAACTTGGAGAAAACAAAAGAACTCAACTTCCATTGGTTGTTGTTTTTTCTATAATTCCAAGCCTGATGATTTTATAGATATAGTGCAATATAAATTAAATTGTCATTTTATAGAGTAAGAATCTTTAAAAAAATATCCTACAAGTATTTTAGGTTTTAGAAAAGATAGTATTGGGACTGGAGAGATGACTCAGCGGTTAAAAGCAATGACTACTCTTTTTTTTTTTTTTTTTTTTTTTGTCTTTTTGAGACAGGGTCTCCCTGTAGTCCTAGCTGGCCTGGAACTTGCTATGTAGAACAGGCTGGCCTCGAACTCACAGAGATCCACCTGCTTCTGCCTCCCGAGTGCTGGGATTAAAGGCATGTGCCACCACGCTCGGCCAGCACTGCCTACTCTTACAGAGGACCCTGGTTTGGTTCCCAGGACCTGCATAGTAGCTAACAACTGTCTATAGCTCTAGTTCTAGGGGGTCTGACACCCTCTTCTGGCCTCTGCGGGCTTTTCACACACATGGTACACTCACATACATGTAGGCAAAACACTCATACACATAAAAATAAATAAAAGAGTACTGAGAATTAAAACCAGGACCCTGTTTATGAATGTTAGGCAAGTGCTCAATCACTTAGTTATACCTTCAGCTGTGTGTACAATTATTTTAATTTACCAGAGCAGTTTTACTTTGTTAGGAGGATTTGAGACTGATCATAAATGACTACTGGCTGGTCAGATCTTTTAGTATTTGAATTCGTTCAGTAGATGAAGAGGAAGGAAAGATGACTGTATACTTACTTAAAGGAACCTGGGGAAAGAGATGGTATGTGAGAAGTCTATACACAAATCATGTCTAGTGAAGACGCACCAGAAGAGAAGCACAAAGTAGTCTTATGAGCAATAACTTGTAAAGCTGTCGGAGGTGATATTTGAACTGATCTAAGAATGGTAGGACTGTGTGAGGGAGCCCAAAGGTGATATGCCTTGAGGTAAAAGTAAAGAAATAGGCATTTTATTGATATTCAGAAATTGGAAAACTGGATTGAAGGGAGTAGTAAGTTTAAAATGTAACAATTAAAACCTTTAATGAAGGCATAATATGTGTAATATACTGTAAAAGAGATTAGTGGGCACAGATAAAAAGAGAGAGGAGATAGAAAATTTCCTGATGGCAACTGAAGGTATTTTGATTTTGTTTTTTGAACCTTAAGGAGTCAGTGAAGCATTTGAGGACTAAAATGTTAATACCTGTTTTAGGAAGCACTACTAATTAATTGAATAATGACTCTGGGACAAGAGCCAGTTTAACTGCTTTATGTGTACATAAAAAAAAAAAAAAATCCTCAGGGCTGGTGAGATGGCTCAGTAGTTAAGAGCACTGACTGCTCTTGCAGAGGACCCAGGTTTAATTCTCAGCACCCACATTGCAGCTATGAACCGTCCCTAACTCCAGTTTCAGGGGAATCAGGTCAGCCCTTGTCTGACCTCCACGGCATTACATGACATGGGTGCACTCACATACATGCAGGCAATACACTCGTACACATAAAATAAAAATAATAAATAAAATATTTAAAAAAAATCCTCATGACACCTGAATGAGAACTCTGCATTAATAATAAGAAAGTTAAGGCCAGAGAAATTAAATAACTTGCCCAAGATCACAAATGGAGATATAAACTGACAAGTTAGCTCTAGAGCTTATCAACCTGGGAAATAAATCTAATAGTAGTTCAAAAAGCTACTTAGAAAATGGAGACTTGAATCAGAAACCAGAAAGGAGATTCTTGTCACCATTTAAGGAAGAAGAAATAACATACGTAAAAAGTAGGAAAGTAGTGGAGGAATTCATTCTGTGGTGGCTTTTTGTCTTCCTTGTATGTACATTTGTGTAGTCTAGACCTGTTAGTCACCCTGACATTTCTGTTGTGGGGCAGGGCTTCTCAGAAGTTCCACAAAAGAGAATAACAGTTGTTCTGTGTCTTCTCTGGCTTTGTTGATGATATTACCTTAATGGCTTAGAAACTTGAGGATGAAACAATATAAAATTAGTGTGGAACTTTGAATCTTGATGTTCCTTTACATTTAGTTTGGCTTTTTAGTACTCTAGGCTTGAGGTAGATACCCCATTGATCCATTGATTTCATTTTTCATACCCAAAAACTTCAAGTGCTATGTGCTGTAATGGCTATGCTGTCCAGATAAAGAAATGCTGTTATTTTTTTCCCACTTTAATTGAATGTGAGTCCTAAAATGGAAAGAAAGAAAATAATTTATGTTAGTAAAATTAGTTTTTGGAAACCTTAAGTGAATAAGGTATTTAAAAAAAATTTCTTTTCCTTATAGGATGGCATTTACGTGTTCGTTTTGTAAATTTCGAACCTTTGAAGAAAAAGATATTGAACTGCATCTGGAAAGTTCTTCACACCAAGAAACATTAGATCATATTCAGAAGCAAACGAAATTTGATAAAGTAGTTATGGAGTTTTTACATGTAAGTAGGTATTTTTGAAATGAGAAGCATTTTATTTGATCTGAATTTATTTTGCTTTTTACAATTTCACCTATGTTTCTGAAAATTGAATAATTATTCATTTAAGGAAAGTTGATAAAATTAATTAGGTGTGAATTCTACAGTAGAATTTAGATTTGTCATATGATAAATCATTTCACATTTCTCAGTCATTTATGAGAAAGGTGTAGAAAAAAGAATTCCTTGAGACATGTTGATTGATGGTATCATCTCTGAAGAATCTACTGTGTACCTGGGGGTATGTTTGGTACTTTAATCTTTATTTCACATGCGTCTCATGCTAATTCTTTTTTTTAAAATCATGATTGAAAAGTCATGTCCAGAACAGCTAAATGATTCTATCAGTAAGTAGCAGAGTCTGAATTCAGGGTCAGGGAGACATATGTCTGTTTGGTGTCTTTGAATTTTCAGTGTGTAGCTGTCAACTTAATAGATCATCTTGAAGACCATAAGCATTCCTCTCAGGGAACCAATGATAATTGGAAATAGAACATGTTCACAGCTGCACAGACAGTATATATTTAGGTGCACATGTCAAGACTGGCGATGTACTCTAGGGACTTGGAGAAGCAAAGGATGCTTGGAATCAGGAATGTAAAAAGAAAAGGCTTAAGCTGGATTACTAATTGTAAATGAAACTAATTTGGGCATAAGAGATGAAATTAGTAGAAAGCTAGAAAATACAGAGATCATTCAGATCTCTGTATCCAGCAGAATTATATCCTTGATTAAAATTTCTTCCTGTAATTTTTCCCTTGTGGGTTCCTGTCTGTCATCTATATACTTAACCTGAGACGATTTTTTCATTATCCAGCCTCTGATCTTTCTCCAAATGCCTAAAAATGTAGTTTGAAAGTCAACACTTGTAGTTTCCTAGTATTTCATGACAGCCTTTTCAAGTAAATTTGTAAACTCCTTGTGAATAGATACTTGTTTTTGTGGAACAGAAATATCTGTCAGTGATAGTGTCTTCCATAGAATGAGCCTTGTGTTAAGTGTATAGTAAGTGCTCATTGAAAACAAGTTGGATTCTGTTTTATTTTCTAGGAATGTATGGTGAATAAATTTAAAAAAGCATCTATTCGTAAGCAACAGACACTTAATCACCCAGAAGCTTACAAAATAATTGAAAAAGATGTTATGGAAGGTGAGTATTTAGGCAAGTTGTTTTATAAGTTTACATGTATATTTTATGTATAAAAACCTGTTTCATTGTAAGTGATGCCCCCCAGAATGCTATAATTCACAGTTGTGTATGCTGTAGCTTTGATTAGCTTATCAGAAGTGAACCTACTGACATCCGGTTTGCATGCTTAGAAATTTATTATTACCTCTTTTCCTAAGTTTAGAGGAAAAATCCATATTTTTCTTTGCACGAAGGATATACTTCTTTAATCTATCCTTTCTTATCTCATTTTAATTAAAAAGTCTTTTTATTTTTAAATTATATGTTTGTGTGTGTGTGTGTGTGTGTGTGTGTGTGTGTGTGTGTGTGTAGGGGCTCATATGCATGTCATATTTGCAGAGGCCAGAAGAAGGCCTTGGACCCCCTGGAGCTGGAGTTACAGGAGGATATGAGCCACTGGATTTGGGTTATGGGAGCCAAATTTAGGCCCTTTGGAAGAGCGGCAAGCGTTCTTAACTACTGAGCTATCCTTCTAGCCCCATGATCTCTCTTTTCTAATTCATTATCTCTCTTTTTTTCTAATTCATGAATTCTGTTTTTCAGTCTTTCCTTCTCTTTTATGCTCTTATTTTAAAAAAGAAACAACCCAAAAGAACAATAAAAAGCATGGTATTTCCCTATAATTCACCTTTCCTTTTTGTTTTTAAACATCCATTTTCTAGGCAAATGAACTATTTATATCCCTAGTCCAAAATTCATGCTTCTTTAAGTCTAATCCACACTGATCTCTACTCCTTCATCTCTTGTTTATTACTTTTTGTACAGTAAATAACTTTCTGCTATCATTATTAGTCTACTGAAATTGCTGACAGAACATGATCCTCTCCCCTCTTTTTCTGAGATATGTCTTACTATGTAGCTGTAGCCAGCCAGGAATTTGTTACGTAACCCCCTTAGCCTTGAACTTGCAGTGATTCTCCTGCCTCCTGAGTGCTAGGATTATAGGTGTAGGCCACCATGCCCAACCCTAAATAATCTTTTGTTGGTTATTTTTCTTTTCTTTCCTTTTTTTGGGGGGCAGTGCAGGGTCTCTTTGTAGCCCAGATGACCTGGAACTCGCTATGTAGACCAGGCTAGCTTCAGTGCCATAGAGATACACCTGCCTCTGCCTCTAGAGTGCTGGGATTAAAGTCTTGTGAGCATCACCATGCCTAGCTTTGTTGGTTTTTTTAATCATCTTCTGTAACATTTTTCACCTACTGTCTTGTTTGGGAATCTGCTTTTTTCCTTCATTTTTTCCTCAGTACCTCACTAATATTCTCTTAATTCATTACCTTGACCTGTTTTTAGTCTTTGCGCTTTATCAGCTCTATTACTCATGATCCTCATTATTATCACTATATTTATATATATCTTCCTGGTGAACTTATTTACATACAAAGTTTGGTTAACATTTGTATGTTGATTTCTTAGATCTATAAGTCTAGCTCAGATCTGTTTTCTAAAAATTTATCTCATTCATTAAATTGTGGTCTGGCATCTCTTCAGTAGTCATATAAAACCACTACATCTCCAAAATTTACCATTTCCTTTGGCACACCTTACCCATCAAAGAAATAGAAACTCAAGAATTCTTCATTTCTCTTGAAAAGTTACTTCACAATCTCCCCAAGTCAGAAGTGGGAGTAGTTATCCCAGGTATTTTACTGTGTTTGCAGCACTGTCGTATAGATTCTTATCTTTCATGTGTTTACCAATCTGTTTCTTCATCTCCTTTAAATGTTTCATTTAATCAAATCTTTACTTCTTCTCTCAATAATTCATAGTATTGTCCTTTCAGTTTTTCTTTTTTTTTTTTTTTTTTTTTTTTCTTATTTTGGTCTTTGACACAGGGTCTCCCTGTAGCCCCAGCTGGCCTGGAACTCACTATGTAGACCAGGCTGGCCTCATACTCACAGAGATCCGCCTGCCTTTGCCTCCTGAGGCCTGGGATTAAAGGCATGTGCCACCATGCCCTGTAGTTTTTCATATTTCTGATTTCTAGTGTATGATTCAGGAAATTAATGCTTCTCCAACCTCTATAGGATAAGGTTAACATTCTTGGGCATGATACACAAAGCTTCTTATGACTAGGGCCCTCCTCCTTGTTCTGTTAATATTGTCTGTCCTTTCCTTATGCTAGGTGCTCCAGCCAAACTGAATTATTTACAGTTCTTAGAAAATGCTATTTTCTCTAACACCCTTCCCTTGCATATATTCCCTTGCTGTCGTAAGAGCTAGGCAAGGACTCTACCACTACATCGCCAGTCCAAGAGCCATTTAATATGATCATTTTGAAGATCCAAAGTGAATTTTTATTCCTACAGCATCTTTTTTGCTTTCCCTCCCTACCCAGATTCACAATCATGGAAATATTTGTTGTACTACAAATTGACATTGACATTGATTTAATTTTATATTATATTGGAGAGGGTGAATTTATAGTCCTGTAAGCATGAATATGTGACATGATTAGAAAATACAGAGATGGCTTAGCAGTTAAGAGTCTGTACTGCTTTTTTTTTTTTCCTCATAGCTTAACTTTATTTACAGATACTAATAAAATCGGTCTAACAGGTTACACTGATGGTAAATATATGCATAGATTACAGAAGACACCGTATTCAAAGACAATTTCCACTATTTATCACTCAGATCTCATACTAATCTTCCTGGACCTATGACAAATACTCATCAAAAAATAGATAAAAATGTTACAAAATCAACTATATCCCTGTAATAATCTTACTGATACAATTTTCATCAAGACACACGTGCTAATTGGAGAGCATTGGTTCACCAATTCAGCATTCCACAAAGATTGGCAAAACTATTTTAAGACAATGTGACATTTGTCAACCAATTAACAACCATCATTTGCCTAGTGATCTAAACCCACAAGGATTACAAATTAATGATATATGACAAATGAGTGTCATACATGTCAAATGTTTGGAAAATGACAATATGTCCATCATACTATTGATACTTATTCCACTTTCCAGTGGGCAACTATGATACCAAATAAAAAAGCTTCTTCTGTAACCTTACTTTTTTTTTTTTTAAGCCATAAATATCATGGGAGTTTCTAAACAGTTAAAAACTGATAATGCTCCAACTTATCTAAAAAATTCCAATCATTTCTCTCTCAATGGCATATCAAGCATGTTACTAAAATCTCATACAATCCACAAGGACAAGCCATTATTAAACATTCTAATAAAACATTAAAATGTTAATTAAACAAAAAGGGGGAAATGATAACCCTCCTTGACATATATTATTAGCTGCTTTATTTACCGTAAATTTTTAAAATTGCCATGCTTAGAGTTTTACAGTTACAGAAATGCATTGGCCTTATATAAAAGAAAGGAGTCTGTAGTGCTTTTTCAGAGGATCTGAGTTTGGTTGCCAGCACTGACACCAGACAGCTCACAACTGCTTATAACTCCAGCTCTAAGGAATCTGATGCCCTTTTCTTGCCTCTGTGGGCATCTGCATTACATGCACAAACTCACATACAGACACACAGATATACACATAATTAAAAAATTAAATCTGTTTTATGTGCACAAACTTCCCACACAGACACACACATATACACACAATTAAAAAATTAAATCTTAAAGAATTATGGTGTAATTACACCTTATGACAATAACCAGTTATCTTTATAATTTTAAAATCTATTTATATAGATCTATAAAGTTTGCAGAAGAACTCAACATAATAATCTACATGCTCTTATCCTTTTTTGTAAGGTGTACAAATTACCTTGAAAATTAGTGAAACCTTGATACATCAGAAATGAGAATAAATGGATCATGTCTTTGCTAATTGGGTTTCTTTTGTAGGTGTTACTGCAGATGACCATATGATGAAAGTGGAGACTGTTCACTGTAGTGCTTGCAGTGTGTATATTCCTGCTTTACACAGTTCAGTTCAGCAGCACCTAAAATCTCCTGACCATGTCAAAGGGAAGCAAGTAAGTATTACTCTCGTAATAAAATGCCTGAATTATCTACCAGTTTCAAAAATTCTCTTTTGGCCATGGTTTATACTTAAAGTCCTATTAGTCTCAAATGTGAATAGCTGTTTATCTAACTCAGAAAGAGTCATTTAGTAGATAAGGTCATGGATCTGGAACAAGACTTTCTGGATTTGAATCCTGGTGTTAAACATGCAAATTAATCTTTCCCATTTATCTGTAAGAGGAGAATGGAATCATTCTGTGCTTCTTTAGGATTCAGTTAACATGTAAGACCTTGTAAAATGGTGCCTATTAATAAATAGTAAGCATTCAGAAAATCAGTTGTTAAACTTTTTTTTTTTTTAAGTATTTTTATTTTACGTGTATGCGTGTATTGCCTGCACGTAGGTAAGTGTACCTGTGTCGTGCATTGCCCACAGAGGTCAAAAGAGGCTGTGGGATCCCCTGAGACTAGAGTTATGGACAGTTGTTAGCTGCCATGTGGGTGCTGGGATTAGAACCCAGGTCTTTTGCAAGAACAATCAGTGTTCCTAATGAGCCATCTCTCTAGCCCCCTTTAAACTGTTATTTTTAAAGTTGGTACAAAATACTTTTGTATGTGTGTTAGAACTAAAAGTAAACAAGATTTTATTATGACTGGTACGTTTTTCTAATGGTTGATAAAAATAAATTTAAAAAGCTGGACGTGGTGGTACACGCCTTTAAATCCCAGCACTTGGGAGGGCCGAGGCAGACCTTGTCTCAAAAAGACCAAAAAAAAAAAAAAAAAAAAAAAACCAAAAAAAAAAAAAAAAAAAAAAACCGAAAAGAAAAAAACTAAAAACTAGTATTAGCATTTTAGCATTTACTATTGTGACTTTTCGAATATAATATCCTTAAAAAAATTGTTTACCTGTTGATTATGCATGTCTGCTCCTGTATTGCCTGGTTTTATTTAGTTGGGTTTACTTCAAGTAACAAAAGTGCTTATGTTACGGGAAATTAGTTCATTTGCAAAACAAATTTGAAGACTTGGAAAGTAATGCTTTAGTTTAAATAGAGGAAACGAGTTTTTAATTCATATTTTGTAATGAAGTAGATTTCATTTAGCTCAGATTCCCCTTTACATACTTTGAGCACGTACTGTCTTGATATCTTTTTGCCAGTAGACACTATATTATTACCTTTCCTCCTCTGTATGATACTTCTTGTGATAATTTAGAAGCTTCATAGAAGACTAATTACTGTGATGGTATGAGAGATAATCTTTTTTGATGTTGTGAGCTGAGGAGGTATGTGGAGAATAAAAAGAAGCATCAACTCTAGCATAGACTTGTATTTGGAAGCTGTGTGTTTTTTTTATTGAAGCTGATTTGCTTATGAATCTTCTTTGTTTTAATCCATGGGTGTTCTAGATTACAGTCACAATAGCAGTAGTTTTATAGATTAATTTGCTATAAAAGTCATTTAACTCTTAAGGTTTGAGTATAAATTGTCATTTTAATTATACAGGCACTTCATGGCATGGCTTTCTAGTATGCTCAATGCGCTCTGTCTTTTTACAGGCTTATAAGGAACAAATAAAAAGAGAAAGTGTGTTGACTGCCACAAGCATTTTAAATAATCCAATAGTGAAGGCACGATATGAGCGTTTTGTTAAGGTAAAATTTTGGGAAAAAAACCTTTTTAGGAAATACTGTATAATAATAATTAAATGATGATATAATGTAATAACTTTGTGATATTAGCATATAGTACAGTATACTGGGAAGAATTTTACTTAATATCTTACATATAGACAGTGCATTGTTTTTCTTAATTTTGGGGATCATGGGGGGAAGCAGTGATTCGTTTCTCATCTCCTTTCCAGCTCTAAATCAGTGAAAGATGAACAAGAGTTAGATTATCAGAGTGTTAGTGTTGTTCTTGTCTGTGTGTTGTGTGTATATGAATGGGTACCTGTGTGTGAGGGTAGGTGCATATGTATGTGGAAGCTGGAGGACAACTTTGGGTGTCACACCTCAGTAGCTGCCCACCTTGTTTGTTTTTTTTAATTGATATATTATCATTTTATGTGTGTTTTGCTTGCGTGTATATAAATGTACCGCATGTATGCAGTGCCCTCAAGAGGTCAGAAGAAGGTGTTGGATCCCCTGAAAACGGAGTTATGGATGCTTGTTAGCCGCCATGTCTGTGCTGGGAACTGAACCCCCAGTCCTTGAAGAACAGCCAGTGCTCTTAACCACTGAGCCCTCTAATCTCTCCAGCCCCTCCCTACTTTGTTTTTTTGAGACAAGGTCTGTTATAGGACTGGGGCTTGCAGATCCAGCTAGGCTAGCTGGCAGCAAGGTCCAGGGATCCTCCTGTCTCAGCTTCCCCAGCACTGGGATAACAAGCCTATGCCACCAGGACACCTTCCAAGTCTGCTAGTTGAATGAGTCTTTTCTCTATCATGGATAAAACTTAGAAAGGAAACAGGATGCTAGATAAATTTCCCCAGAAGATCCTTCCTTAGGGAATCAGGCCCAGAAAAAGGAGACCGCCCCCCCCCCGCCCACTAATGTTAGAAATCCTAGTTGTGAATAATTAGATATACCTTGCCCACTTTACTAAGAGTTTTTGCTATATATTATTACTTGACTCCTTCTTTATGTAAAACTTGTAAACATTTATTATACAAACAAGAACTTAACCTTTCAGGAAGTGAATAGAAATAAATTTCGAGGTTAATTTTTCCAACCCCCCCCAAATGTTTATTCAGCAATAACGATACTACATTTTAGAATTACTTATTTAGAGAGACAAAAAAAATATATGAAAAGCTTACATATATAGCAAGTCATGTAAGTCCTTTGACTGCTCTGTCAAGGTAAAACACATTTTCTTTTTTAAAATGCTTTATTATTTGAATTTTATTTGTGGTTTTTTTTTTTTTTTTTTTTTTTTTTTTAAAAAAAAAAAAAAAAAAAAAAAAAAGAGGACGATAAATCTTTCACTGTGATATATCAAAATAACTGTATACAACCTTGGAACCTCTTGGAGACCCGGAGTAGACATGTGGCTGTGATGGCTCCAGAGAAACACAGCTATGGGGACACCCACTCTTTGTACCCAACAACCTCCTTTATCTGAATAGCATCATCACCCAGTCCCAAAGCTCCTCCTACACAAGCCTTCCAATAGTCTAGGTACCAGTGAAACTGGTCCCACCTCAGAGATGACAGCCACCATCCTACATGGAACTGCCCTCTCTAGCACACAGAGACCCCTAAACCGAATTCAAGAAGCATTTACCCTCAGAGGCTGATGCTGCCACCTGCCACCCCAGCCTCCAGAACTGGAGAAAGCTATCCACACCATAGACACACTCTCGGGGAAACCTGTTCTAAATACACCATCTGTGGTGACTAGGAGTACAAAATTGCACCATTTAGAGTCAGGCAGTCATAACTTAGTCTATCTTCCTCCTCTCCCAAGCTCCTTCAAAGACCCCAGGGGCCCTGAGCTCCAATTCACCATGGCAAGGACTCACCGTGGCAAGGACTCCCCATGAGGGTCCATCCCACTGAAGATTAGGATGCAGGGCAGGCCCTCCAACTCCAAGTAAGTCTGAGGCCTCCACTCTGCATCCTCAATTTTCTGCCACATCTACAGATATGAAAAAGAAGGAAAGCTGCAGAAGTAGGACTTGAACCCCAGTATCTCCACTTCCCAGGGTTAGAAACTTTTACAAGCTGTGCAGCTTCTCTGGGGCTCTGTTTTTTTTTTTCCCATCTGAAAGGGAACTAAGTACATTGTTGGGGATTAAATGTCTGAGGTGGGCAAGATGTCTCAGCTAGTAAAGGTGCGTGCCACCAAGACTGATGACCTGAGTTTGATTCCTGGAATCCATATGATGGAAGGAAAGAATCAACTCTTTCAAGTTGTCTTCTGGTCTCTGCATGTACAATGTGGCATGTATGCACATACATACACAAAATAATAAATAAACGTAAAAAAGATGTACTAACTAGACATTCAATCGTGCAAGTTACTTTTTTTTTTTTTGAGACAGCATCTCCCTGTAGCTCCACTTGGCCTGGAACTCACTACTAGACCAGACCAGGCTGGCCTTGAATTCACAGAGATCTGCCTGCTTCTGTCTCCCAAGTTCTGGGATTAAAGGCGTGTGCCACCATACTTGGCTATTATTTTTATTTTATTTGTATGAATGTTTTGCCTGCATGTATGTAAGTGTACCTGTGTTGTTCAGTGACCATGGAGGTCAGAAGAGGGCATGGGATCCCCTAGAACTGGAGTTACAGATGGTTGTTAGCCACCATGTGGATGCTGGGAATCAAACCCAGGTCCTCTGCAAGAGCAGCCAGTGCTCTTAACTGCTGAGCCATCTCTCCAGCCCCCTAAAACACATTTCAATGCAAAATAAGACCTTAAAAGGGCAGTGTCCACATGTGATTCCATAAGGGGCCATTACCTTATTGGGAAATCTGAATTTAAATATATGTTTTTCATTGTTTGAATATTCCTATAGGCTATAGTTCTTTATAGTACCTACTAAGCCTAGTGTTTTTTTTTTTTTTGTTTTTTTTTTGTTGTTTTGTTTTTTAAAAGAGGTTTCACTATGTAGCCCTGGGTAGCCTGGAACTTGCTGTGTAGATCAGGCTGGTCTTGAAACTCTGAGTGCATTTTTTTCTTTAAACAAGAATTTTAGCTATTCAAATAACATAGTGTGAAGATTGTTAGAAGTATGTTTAAAATCATAATTTTGAAATTTCTAAGAATTCATGGTAATACTACTTTATTTTCCCTGAATCTCAAAGAATAACAACATGCCAGGGATTTGAAAACAATGAGAAATTTGTTTTTTCATTGTGTAATTCTAGAAGTTAGGTTTTGAGTTTTCACAGAAGACAGTACCTAATTAAAAGCCATTCTACACTGAATGGAACTGTTACATTGAAGATTTACATGTCTGTTTTTTTATTTGTTTGGTTTGGGTTTTTTGAGACAGAGTCTCCCTGTAGCCCCAATTGGCCTGGAACTTGCTATGTAGCCCTGGCTGGCCTTGATCTCTGCTGGGATTAGAGGCATGTGCCACCATGCCTGGTTACATGTCTGTCTTTTAAATTAGTAAATAAATCTTTCGGCTTCTGACTTACGCCTGAAGTTTCAGCTACTCAGTAGGCCAAGATAGGAGGGTCACTTGAGCCCACAAGTTCAAGACCAGTCTGAGCAACCTGGTAAGACCTAGCTTAAAAAAATAAAATTCTGGCTTTTGTGGTAATTAACAAGGTACTCTGTGAAGCCTAGTGTGTACTTAATGACCATTAAGCTAACTCTTAGTCTGTGTGTCTTGTATGTCTGTGTGTATGTGTGCATATGTGTGGGTGCCCACAAGGTGGGTAGAGTGACTTCCAAGTTGAATAATCTTACATTTTATTTAAGATTTATTTTTATTCATATCTATGTATGTATGTCTGTGTGTATGTGTGCATATGTGTGGGTGCCCACAAGGTGGGTAGAGAGTGTTGAATTCTTTAGAGCTGGAGTTACAGGTGGTTGTGAGCTGCCTTGACAAGAGTGCTGGGAACCAAATTTCAGTCCTCTCCAAGAATAGAAAGCACTCGTAACTGCTGAGGCATCTCTTCAGCCCCTAATCTCAGTTATTTTGTCCCCTTCCTTTTCCTCCCCCTCTCTCTTTCATATGCATGTGCATTCCTCTGTACATGTGTGAAGGTCAGAGGTCAACATTCAGGAACTGGTGCTCTCCTTCTACCATGTGGGTTCTGGGGTTTGCAGTTCCTAGTATCCATATTAGGCAACTCACAACTGCCTGTACTTCAGCTCCAGCATCATTCAATGCCTCTGGCCTCCAGCCTTGTGGGCACCTGCACATATCCACATGCAGAGACATACACATACACATAATTAAAAACAAAGTAAATCTTAAGATAATGTGATTTTTAAAGTGTTGTAGTTTATGGGAATATAAAGTAATGACTCCAATAGACTATACACTCAAATTGATATAAAGTACTAGGTACTTAACAGATATTTTATGTGAAAAATCTTCAAATAGTTTATTTTTTTTATGATATAGCAAGTATTACTGACAGAAAATCAATGTGTAGATTGTAAAAGCCATTTCTCTTGCTTAGGGAGAGAATCCTTTTGAAAGTCAAGATCATTCTCAGGATCAGCAAATAGAAGGTGATGAAGAAGATGAAGAAAAGATTGATGAACCTATTGAAGAAGAGGAGGATGAAGAGGAGGAGGAAGAGGCAGAGGAAGTAGGGGAAACGGAAGAAGTGGAGGAAGAAGTGGAAGAAGTAGAGGAAGGGGGAGAAGTTGGAGTAGAGGGAGAAGGGGATGTAGAAGGAGGAGAGGAAACAGCTGCAGTAGGGGATGATGGGGCAGTGGGAGGAGGAGGAGGAGCAGGTGAAGTAGAGCCAGGGGAAGAAGAGGCAAAAGAGGAGTCTGTTGACTTACCTGTTGAGCAACCTGATGAAAGTTAAATATAGGATATTATTTAAAAGGAGCTTTACATTTTTGTCCTAATGTAGAAAAGGATAAGAATTTTAATAGCTTAAGATATGAATTGATACCCATGTTGCATGTATTCCACATATTAAAATTCGTTTTATATAATTTCTAAATGTTTAGCACTTGTTTAATAAATGAAGGTAAGACTATTTCAGTTTAGTTTTTATAGATACCAAACTTAGATATGGTAAATTGTTTGTATAATTTTTAAGATTAGTTTTTACTACCTTATTGATGTTAAAGATAATGGATGTGTGTTGTTCCTATATCTGTTGTAATCATTTGAACTCAAATGCTGCTCTTGGGAGTGAACCTTTAAGTGTGCATTAATTTTTTGAGTACTTGCCTTAAAAGAGATAAATTGGGCAAGTATCTTGTGTTCTGATTGTGTATTTTTTTTACATAGCAATTAACCTTAAGATGGCTTAAAGGCTTTTGTGTACACAGTTCCCTTTGTAGCAATAAAATGTTTTCTTCTTTTTTTAACAAAAAACTTTCTCCTTTGATTGCAAGTTCAATAGTTCATCAGTTAAATGAGTATTTAAAAAAATCAATATTTGCCTTAATGTATGAGTTTGGCTCAAGTATTTCAAGCTAATTGAAAAGACTTGAATCAGAACATTTTTTTGCTCAATCACATTTTTAAAGTGTGACTAAAATATATTTTCTAACACATTTCAGAGGTCATTCTATAAATGACCTTGTTTATACTAGTTTTAGTTTGTTCCTTTTTTCTGTGCCTATGTCAGATCTTGAAATCTTCCTGAAAATACAATTTAATACAAATCATTTGTGTTAGTTTTTTGTTTTGTCTCTCTTTGCCTGGAGAATCAAGAATCAAGCCTTCTGTTTAAAAAAAAAAAAAGTTGAGGGGTTTCTCTTTCAATATTTCCCTTAAAAAAAAAATCTGACTTATACACCTATATGTTCATCAGGAGAACATGAGACTGATGTATTTTTAAGTCATTGACTTTCTAATGGCCATCTATGTAACTGCAGTACTCTTAAGAATCATAAGCCTTTTATGAGTGTCAACTCAAAGCTGTGCTCTTTGAATCTTTTAGTATGACTTCTTTTGGAGGGGACCTTATGTTTTGAAGACAGGGTCTCCCTGTAGCCTCAGCTGGCCTAGAACTCACTAGGTAGACCAGGCTGGCCTTGAACTCACAGAGATCTGCTTGCCTCTGTCTCCTGAGTGCTGGACTGGGAGCTCTTTTTATGTATTTATTTTTTATTTTTATTTTATGCATGTGAGTGTAATTCCTGAATGTAGGTAAGTACGCCTATGCCATGCAGTGCCCATGGAGGACAGAAGAGGGTATTGAATCCCCTGGAACTGGAGTTACAGACAGTTGTTAGCCACCATATGGGTGCTGGGATTCGAACCCAGGTCCTCTGCAAGAGCAATCAGTGCTTTTAGCTACTGAGCCATGTCCCTAGCCCTGGGAATGTGAAATTAGCTTCTTAAAAATTTGAGAAAAATATTGAGGTATTGAATGGACAACTTCTAATAAAGCATGAAGTTGATGGACATGGGCATTTGTAGAAGTGTGTGTGTAAATGCTTGATATGTGTCTGTGTGGTGTTTGTGCACATGTGCATGTGCTTGTGTTCAGGAAGGTCAGAGGAGAATATAAGATACCCTACTCTAGTGTATTCTGTCTTACTCTCTTGAGACAGGGTCTCTTACTGAACATGGAGCTAAGCTGGCAGCCAGAAAGCTCCGGAGATCCCCGTCTCCACATCCCACAGTGCTGGGGTTCAGGGTCTTGTATAGCCACACCTATTTTTTTATGCTTGTTCTGGCAATTTACACTTGGCCTCATGCTTGTGCAGCAAGTGCTTTTATCCATTGAGCCATTTCAGCCACAAAATCAGGCCTTTGAAAGTAGATTTTTCTGGGGTTAGGGAAGTGGCTCACTAGGTAAGGTGCTTGCTGAGCAAGGGTGAGGACCACAGTCCAGAGCCCTAGTACCTACATTCTGTGTGGGCATGGCAGCCTCCTAAATTCCAGTGCTCCAAAGGCGGAAACAGGATCCCAGGAGCTAACCGGCCGCTGTATTGATGAGCTCTGGGTTCAAGTGAGAGTCCCTGCCCCTTTGAGTAAGGTGGAGCATGATCAAGGCGGACTTCTCACATCAGCCTCAGGTCTCTGCATGTATACAAGCACATATGTGTGCCTATAAACATACACAGAAAGTATGCATAAATATATAGAACAAAAGTAGATTTTCTAGACTATTATGACTTTATAGTAAATAATTTCATTTACCTTTAAGATAGAAAAAACTGATATGCATTTACACCTAATTATAGTGTTTTGGAACCAAATATAAGAAGGTTGGTTAAAGACTAGAAAATTTTGGACCTATTTAGGAATCTCTTTCATAGAAAACATTTTAAGGATACTAGAACTTGACTGACATTTTTATTTCTTAAAAATATTTGCGGAAAAGCTAAGGTAAAAGAATAATAGGTTTTTCTGGGTGGTTGTTAGTATTTGGCACTTTGTTGGAGGTTTTTAAAAAAATACTTAAAGCAATTTTATCTACTTTGGTGCATGTGTGCATAACCCTGTCATGGAGTGTGTGTGGAGGTCAGAGGACAACTTCGGGGAGTCAGTGTTCTTCCACCATCTGGGTCTCAGGTTGAACTCTGCTCCTTGGGCCTGCTGGCAGGTATCTTTGCCCACTGAGCCGTCTCACTGGCCCTAAATTGGGGGCTTTAAAATAGAATGTTTCTTTTTTTAATAAAAAAAAAAAATTTATTGTTGAGCAGAATTGTAGGGGATAGTTCTCTTCCAGCCATCTATCTGCATGTCACCTTCTGGCACCATGAAAGCTACCCATCCAGTGGCAGGGAGTTTTCAGCTTAGTCCATGCTTGATTTCTCCCTCTCCTTAGCTCACATCATTTGTCTTTAGCAATAGGGCTTTACCATCCACTTCTGGTGTACAACCAACATATTGGCAATGGCCTTTATTGTTTTGGGGACCTCTAGGGCCCCCCTGGCCAACAGCTTATGGGGGGTAACCCACCTCTGGCACTGGGATTTTCATTTAATATCCATATGGCTTCTGGTAGGGCTGATACTGTGTGTTGCACTATCAACATGCCAAACAAGATGTTCCAGCTGGTGCAATAGTGGTATGTCTAGTGTATTACAACCATCAAATTTTCGATTGGATATAGTGCCTGCTTCTAGAGGTGGAACACACATCTGGTACTGGTGGTGGCAGGAGAGGATATAGGCCCCAGTGGGGAAGCCATTGCAATTGTTTTATTAGATGGATGTGATGCACCTATTAAAGTACTGTCCAAGCATTTGTGTTTACACCCATAGGTTAGGTTATTGTAGCAGCCACTGTATAGATGTTCTTGCTGTTTGTGTTTTTATAGTGATGGAATCCCACTGAAATGGGCCAACAGCCCATGGAAAACAGATGATGTAGAGAACTGAAAGTTCAGTGCCTTGCCACAATGGGAGGAAGATCATCCCACTCCTGTCACCCCCTCCAAGGCTCAGGGACTTTTGTGGAAGAGGTTGGTAGAAAGAATGTAAGAGCCAGAAGGAAGGGGTGGAGTGTTACCTGGACGTGTTCTCTGACCACTCTGCATGCAAGCTATAGTCATATCTCCTTCCCATGCTCATCAAGGAGTTGATGGGGGAGTCAGTTACTCCTCCCACCTAATCATTCGACCTTAGCTGCATGTGAGGGAGGGGCTAAGGATATATAAGCTGAGAATATAGTCTGGGGATGTGACAGACACAGGGTGCCAGGAGGCATCTCTCTTGCCATTTTGTGTGGCTGTCAGGAAGTCACAGGATCTGTATTTGAGTGTGGACTTTCCAAAAGCACAGCTGTAAATGGGGGGGGGGTGCCCACTCTTCTGTAAATGAACTTCTACCCTATGCTCTGTTAGCAAGCCCAATAAACTTGTTAGGATTTTGAAAAAAAATAAAAATAAAAATTTTATTTTATGTGTGTGTTTCCTGTATGTATGTTAGTGTACCCATGTTGTGCAGTGCCCGCGAGGTCAGAAGAGGGCATTGAATTCCCCTGGAACTGGAGTTACAGACAGTTGTTAGCCATGTGGGTGCTGGGAACTGAACCCAGGTCCTCTGCAAGAGGAGCCAGTGCTCTTAACTGCTGAGTCATCTCTTCAACCCCATAAATAGAATGTTTCTTGAGGTCTGATCATGGATTTAAAAAAAAAATCTGCACAATATCTAAGTGATAAGGATGAGAGATAGGAGAAAGCGTCAGAGCAGTCAGAAGTGTTCGTACAGATCAGCTTATTTGCAAGGTGGTATTAAAAGTGTGTTTTTAGATGTAAAAATGTGTGTATATTTCCGTTGGATAGTTTGTAGGTTTCCAGTTCAGTTTACATGCAGATTAATTTTTGTAATCCTTAGTGTTTCTATCTTTTATAACAAGGATTTATATAAGAACTTTAATAACATTTGAACTTTTGTTTTTCAAGTATTATTTTCTTTGTTAACAAGTGAAATAATGTAGATGTAATAACCAGCATAGTTGTTTAAGCCAGCTGTGTAGGGGCTATCTATAGTCTTCCCTTATATCACATCCTCCTTTAATCATTAGAAGTCTTTGTTCTGTTTCTAAATTTTACTGGTCCACTCTTCACCTGTGCTGCTGTCAGCATGGTTCCAGTCACCATCATATTTGCTGGACTCTTGAAATGACTCCTTAATGAATCTTGATTTTATGCTTACCCCTGTTTTCTACACAGAAGTGTAATTTTTAAAAAATGTTTATTTTTATGTATATGAGTGTTTTACCTGGTGCCCTCAGAGGACAGAAGAGGGTGTTGGAGCCTTATGGGTGCTGGGAACTGAAGCTGGGTCCTCTGCAAAAATAGCAAGTCTCTAACCACTGAACTGTCTCTCCAGCCCCAGAAGTATAATTTTTAAAAGTGTAATTCAGGTAATGCTAATCTGCATTTTGTACCTGTGGATTCCAAATGCTTTTGTGATCAGTCCTGGTTCACCTTTACAACTTCCTATCATGCAATTCTACTCATTTTATTTTATTTTTTACATTTAAAAAGTGGTATGAGAGGGGGCTGGAGAGCTGGCTCAATGGTTAAGAGCACTGACTGCTCTTACAGAGGACCCAGGTTCAATTCCCAGCAACCACATGGCAGCTAACAACTGTTCATAACTCCAGTTCCAGGGGATCTAACCCCTTCTTTTGACCTCTGTGGGAGTTCCACGACATGGGTGCACTTACACACTTGCAGGCAATACACTCATACACATAAAATGAACATAATAAAATATTTTAAAAAAGGTTGGTGTATGTGTGCGTCTATGTGCACGCCTGCCATATCAAGCATTTAGAGGTCAGGCAGCAACCACTGTGGGTTCAGGATGTTAGGCTTGGATGCAAGCACCTTTACCTGCTAAGCCATTTTGCTGGCCCCACAAAATTCTTTTTAAAATGACTGGT